TATCTTCTTTATTTTTATTTTTATCTTTACTTTATTTTTATCTTTTTTGTTTTATATATTTGTAAATTTTCTTTTTCAAAATTGATATTTTATATTAATATAAATATTCAATTAAAAATATTTTAAGGGTGTGGTGACTTAGTGAAGTGGTGAAGTTGTCGCACCCCCAAGCAGTTGAGTACAAGTTCAATTCCCACCAAAGATGAAAAAATTAAATTTGGAAAAACAGATTCGGCAACTATTGTCGTGGCTAGGAAAACTCAAGACCCTATAACTGTGGTTGTACCAATTCATCAGAACTAGAAAATCTTGGGGCCTTTGTATGATATATAAGTTACACAAATAATCTTTGGATCGCAGAAAGCTACAGGGCTAATATGGCGATGAGGTGCTCACTTGAGAAATCCTGAATAAAGAGGTAACACAAATCTTTAACGGTATTACTGAAATAGGATACACCTGAGGTTAATATAACCGAACGAAGACTGGATATTTGGCAAGAATACCCTACCAACCAGGCTGCCAGAGCATCAACTGGAGGAAAAAGATCTGCATACAGATATTAGGGGACTGGTATCTCTTCCAGGCTATCTGGATTAGTAGTTTGGAGATATTAACTAGGGTGATACCGAAAGTAGAAGGTACCAAATAGACTTGAAAGGGGGTACTGGAATTTGAGTGAACTCTATAAGGGCTAAGTAGGTAACGGTAGCGGCTTTGGCTCACAAGTACTTGTCCTCAGACTTGGCATAAATTATCAAAAAGACTAGATATTATGGTAATAGTAGATACCAGACTGCTCTAGCAGGCAATGTACTCAAGGATGCGCCAGAAATGGTTGTCCTATAGGTGGCAGATAATGATCCAGAGGGTATGGAATGACTATGTACCTCATGCCCAAGATGAGATTAGATTGAATTGGTATAGGACAGTTCAAGATCAAAGGGTTTAAATAGAGGATTCACAAGTGGATCTTAGGTATAGTATATGGAGGGTAATTATAGTAATATAGTGGAGCTCTTAAATAGGCAATGACTAAAGTTGTACATATATCTATGTATATCCTCATCGAATTGTACTATATCTGGGGCTCTTTAGTGACAACCAGTAATCTCTAGTATATCTAATAAAAGTACAAAGCCAAAGAAACTAGCCTTGACTATAAAAAAAAAAAAAATTAAAAATGTTTTTAATAGAAATTGAACTTTATATCTTATCTATAAATTGTTTCAAGAATAATGACTTTACCACTTCACTATTTTATTATACTTTTTAAATATTTTTTATTTTAAGCATATTAAATAACAAATAAAATTTTTAAATTTTATATATTTTCAAACTATCATTCTATTAATATAAGGCAGATATAGTGATAATTATAATATATATTTATATTTTCTTTTTTTTAAACAAAATTTTAAAATTTAATATATTATTATTTTATTAGTCTATAATATTAGACAGATATTATACAAGTACTATTAATTAGCAATTATCTTATACTTGATTTTATTTTATTTATTTTTATATATATTATTTTTTTAGATTATATATTTTTATATATATTATTTTTTTAGTTTAAATTTATAAATTTTATATATCTTCAAACTATCATTCTTTTGATATAAGGCAAATATAGTGATAATTATATTATATATATTAATATTTTTTTTGTTTTTAGACAATATTTTAAATTTTAATATATTATTATTCTATCGGCCTATAATATTAGACAGATATAATTCAGATATTATTAATTAGCAATTATCTTATACTTGATTTTTTTATTTATTTTATATATATTGTTTTTTAGTTTAAATATTTAAATTTTATATATCTTCAAACTATTGTCTTATTAATATAAAGCAGATATAGTAATAATTATATTATATAAATTGAGTTTACTAAAATGCACTGGTGGTGTTCAATACTATAGTAATTTTAGCCAATAAAATTGTTGATCTGTGATGTAATATCAAGATCAGGTATAATATAAAAAATCAAAACAATCCTTTAATTTTTTAAAAAATCTTTAATAATTCGAAATTTTGCTTATGAAACTACCTTTTGCATCTTAATAAAAAAAATTCTTTGCAAAATTTTGGTTATAATAATCTATATTTTCTAATTATAGCTAATAACTCTAACCCTAATATTAGCTAAATTTTAATCTTCTTTTAAATTTTTACTTTGATATGTGGTGTTGAACACCACTAGTACATTTTAATAAAGTTGATATAAATTTATATATATATTTTTTTAAACAATATTTTAAAATATAATATATTATTATTCTATTAGCCCATGATATTAAACAGATATTTTACTAATATTATTAATTAGCAATTGTCTTATACTTAATTTTTTTATTTATTTTATATATATTGTTTGTTTAATTTAAAATTTTAAATTTATATATCTTCAAACTATCATCCTATTAATATAAGGCAGATATAGTAATAATTATATTATATATATAGAGTTTGCTAATTTCTACCACAAGTAATAATCATCTATGTTTATATATTATTTAATATAATATAACACAGTTAAAAAATAGGTTAATACCGTAGCATATAGTAATCTAGTGTAATGTAAATAATGGTTGAGTTAAACTTGATCTGGATAAATTAATCAATTAAAAAAATCTGGCTAGTTTCAACATAATTCTGATCCACACTAACTCTAAAATTCTGTAAAAAGCATTTTGACCTGGGTCAAATTTAATTCAACCTAAAAACCAATTTGACTCGTTACATATATATTGATAACTAACTCTAATCCTGTAATCTAATTATTACCAACCCTAATCCTATCATAAAGCACTATATATTATTAACTTTTATAGTAATACTAGAGAATGCAACATGCAAGTGCAAATAAACAGATTGTTATATGTTTAATTCAAAGAAAATGAAAAACAAATGATAATAAAATTTGTCTCATGCATATCCAATTAAAAATATCAGATTGAAAGTTTTTATAAAGGGTCGATTACCTAACTCAAAGCTCTGGGTTTGTATTATGTAGAATATTTCACACAAAGAGAGACGAATATAAACATTACTTACTCTTGATATTCGATTACCTTAAACTGAAATTAATTAGCTATATAATATGTATTGTTATTAACACTATATAATAATAGCTTTTATGATTAAAATGATATTTCAATAACTAGATAAACAATATTGGCCAATAACCTTAATAACTTTATGACCCGTTATAAGCCATTTTGTTATAATGAAGATTGATATGATTTAATATAATAATGAAAGTTGATATTATAGTGAAGTTCTTTATTAGTATTTGATATGACCTATATCAAAGAATCATAGCCAAGGTTATATCAAAAAAATAACATGACTTAGGTTATTGACCAATGCTATAGATAAATAATTTAACAAAAAGTGATAATATCTTAACATTACTAAACTATTTCAGCTTATACAATTATTTACGCAGCAAAGTTTAAATCGATTGCTATTTAGAATAAATACCTATTGTATCTATTTAATTTTACTACATATGTACTTATTATTTAATTGAGCAAACAACATATACACAAATAATATGTATTATATTGCTTAAATTTGATAATACTGTTATATAATTAATAGTGCTTTGCGTTTATTATAATTTTGTTATACAACAATTTTCTAGAGTTAGCTTTCTTATATCTTGACAAATAAATGGTTATATTGCTGCAATTTTTTATCCAATCTATTTCTTTATCCTTCATTAATATAACAAATTATATTATAAGAATGGTCTTGCTTATATATCTGCAATTTTATATAAATAGCTTATTAAATATGAGTTATTCAGTTTTTAAAACTAAATAAAATTCAACTTATATGAATCCTTCCCATATCGGACAAGTTCTAACATTATGCCCATAATCACCACAATTAGCACATTTGTTTTTTCTTTTTTAAGGTTGTTTATTATCATTTAGCATTGATTTGGAGTTTTGTAAATTTCAAGAATTGGTAATATTTTCGAGTGCACTTCTGTATTATTTAGGTAGCCTGCCATAGCGTTTAGTACAAATGAGTTTGCAACAACAATTTGTTCAACCTGATTTTTATTATTTTCACTTTTTTCTTCTTCAACAACTTGTTGCTATTTATCTTTATCTCTACAGACTTCTTCCTTTTCCAAAATTTGCAGCTCATGTGTTTTTGATAAAACAAATCCTTCCATCATTTGAAAAAAATTATTATCACAATTGAGGTGTATTATTAAATTCAATGCTTTCTTGAATATTTCGTATCCTTTAGACCAACAGCTCTTTTCACTAACAGATTTTTTTAAAATGGGAGTGAACATATTATCAATATGAAATTAAGCTAGATGCCTAAAATTAATCATATGATCACTATTTTCAGATAGTAAATTTTGGTTAGATTTACATAATCTAATAGACAGGAGTAAAGCAATAAGATTACTATTGTCATACATATTACTTTTGTACCATCTGCTTGATATCAAAGTAATATAAAATCTAGCTAAGGGTGATTTTGTAAGGACTTTAAAAAAATGATAGCAGACAATTCTTATGTTGATCAAAGTTAACACAACATGATTACTAAAACAACTTAAAAATAATCCCTGTGAAGTCACAACCCAGATCTGTACAATTTCTTCACAATTTAAGTTTTGCAATAGTGATTTAAGGCCTATTTGATGACGCTCATAATCATCTTCAATACATCCATCCTTAATAATATTTTTTGGTTCTGAGAAATTTTTATTTCAATCAAAAGACAATTCTGTAGCATTATAAAGAAAACTTTCAGAAAGTTGTTGCCTTTGAAGAAAAAGAACATGCAAAGTTAAATACTTCTGAATCAAGAAATCGATAGTAGAAAAATATCTACTCGCAACATGAGGCAAACCAATAGTAGGGTTTGCATTTTTTTGCTCATTAATACATGCATAATTTGCTTCTTCATCTAACCGATTTTGTATTGTTTCAACCAAATTTAATAATATTGTACTATATGAGACTTCCTTTTTAATAATTGCATTTATACCTTTCACCTGTTGAGTGCTTTGAATGCCAGCAGTGAAATGTAGTTGTGTATAACAAATTGCCCAATTTTGATATGCGGGTAAAGAGTTTCAAGTATGTATCATATTGCTTTGGGAAATGGTTGAAGAAATTCAAGAAATCACACCCAACAACGCTCAAAATCAACCTCAAACAAGCTATTTCAAGAACAATAAAAAGTTTATAGCATTCGTCAAAATTTTTACCCATGATACCTTTTATTTTCTTAATAAAATTATTATTCATATAGAATATACAATAGAAAGGGTGTGGTGACTTAGTGAAGTGGTTAAGTTGTCACACCCCCAAGCGATATGTCAGCCAGGTAGGGGTTCGAAACCTACTGGTGACGAATTTTGAATATTCTACTTGTATGACAGCTACTGTCTTTCGACGATCGGTTGAAACGGGATCTCTGTAACCTTGGTGGTACCAACAAGATTGGAAGATCATAGG